CAAATATGGCATATAAAAATATATGTAATTAAATACCTGCATGGGTTTTGATGAGTGTGATGTACGTACAAACGTGACGTCTAAGGATGCTGCGCGGGTCAAGAAATGAACTTAAGTTCGTTCTCGATTCTTCTATGTGAATAGATAGGAGTCGACATGACTCGAACCGTCAAAACAATGTATGGTCGTGGTGCTAACCAGAATATTTATTCTATAAGCTCATATTATGCCTTCAAGGTCAATTTCAAAAAAAATTCACTAATAAAGATATAAAACTAATGATGAACCCAATCCTCTGTCTACAAGTAAATAGGGTAAACATGGTTTGACCAATAATAAAAAGTTCCCATAAATAACTCTATGATGGTTGTGTTGATAAAAAATCTTAACCGGAGGGGACCATAAATATTTAAAATGCCTCACAAATTCTTATAAAATATAAGCATTTAAGTTGACTTCAATGTCACTCCTCTGATGATCATGTTTAATATAAATCTCAATCGGAGGGGTTAATTTTCAAATTCTCTCAAAAATCTTATAGCTTCATATCCATTAAGAATGTAAATTTTTAAAATTGAAATCTACTATCCACAACAGTTTGCTGAGGTAGACAAGCTTGAAGATCACTTTCGCTCATAAAAAGCAAATGTTTGATCAAGAATATTACTAGGATTCATTCTCAATCTGTCTCTTACTAGTAAGGACGTGGCACGTGTCCTTTAACCGATGTTTTTAATGCGAAATGATACCATAGGTAAATGGTTATGATCAGGACCCTTTGACCGAGTGATTTTGCTATCAAATGACACCATTAAATTACAGTCATGGTCAGATCCCGTATGTTCCCCAACTGATTCAAATTCTTGAGTAATGAATCAATAGAATATGATCGATAGGGCATAAAGCCCTAAATTAGCTAAGGTGACTTCTAATTTGTCCCCTTAGACAAACATTCATCCCAAGTCTACAAGGTACCCTTGAACAAAGCAACCCATAGCCGCCGACAAAGATCCTTCGATCAAGTTGGGTCGACTACCTCTTCTGACTAAGCATATTAGGGACCATGATGACCCAAGACGATAAAACTATGGGATCTTGATGGGGTTAAGCATCATTTCCCCTTCCATCCGCTTTAAGTGTAAGGTAGTGAAATTCTAATTTTAAATGTTAAATTTCAAATATCAAAACTCTAGTGCTATTATACTTCGGATACTACGTATTTATTTGACGACTAGCCTTAATCAAAAGTTGTCTCTCGTTATCGGGAGTTGTAATTAGATATAGGAGTTTGCGACTATAAGAAACCTGAACTCATATCATAAAACCTCACAAAATAAGGGTGAAATCTCTGGGTGATGTCTTATTCAAAACCCAATTTACTTTATGAAAAATTTTCCCGAGAACTTGCTCATTAAAACTCTCCTTGACGACCCGAATGAGAAAGGAGTTGCGAAGAGGTTGGAGCGCAAATATTCAGACCCTATAGTTGGGCCCTCAACAAATATCCCTTAAGCTTTACTAATATCATGTCCCTTTCCTTTAAGTACTGATCTTCACTAGATACTAGTGTATTGTTATGCCTATAATGTATCAAATGAGCTGGATTTCTTTATAGAGAATCCTAAAAGGGGTGGTTTGTGTTGCTGAATGGTACGAAGTATTTTACCAATACTTGACCCAATCAATCCACTTTGCTAAACTTTTCGGCATATCCGATACAAAGCATCGCAAATAGGTCTCCACACTTCTATTGACCACCTCCGTATGTCCATTTTTCTGGGGATGGCATGATGTGCTCTTCTCTAGGATTGTCCCCTAAAAACAAAACAACTTCATCCATAAATGACTGAGGAACACCTTGTCTCTATCTGGCACAATAGAGTCTTGAAATCCATGTAAGCGCACCACCTCTCATATGAAAGCAATAGCCATAGAGACCGCTTTGTAAGGGTGGTTCAAAGGGATGTCCTTGCTTACCAATATTACAAAAATTTCCTTCGAACGTGGTAACACCTCGATGAAGTCCATTGTCAGCTCTTCCCACACCCACTTCGATAGAGCTAGAGGCTGTAGTAATCCCAGCCTTACGCCCTGTATCACCTTGATCATTGATTTGAGTGAAATAATGGTGAAGTTGTGAGTAGCCCAACTATCCACCAAAACCATTACTGACTTCTCCCTGATCTGTCCCCTCACCTTCATGTTGTGATTTTGAGTAAATCCCACCACTAAGTTAAGGGACACTTCCACCACATCAAGGTGTAGGTGCTCTCCTCCTGCTTCTACTTCCTCTAACTCTTCACTGTCAGTCTCCTCATTAACCATAAGGACTTGAATTGTGCTGTTCTTGCACTAATGACCTGGTGTATATTTTTCATTACATCAGAATCACAAACTCTTCGCTCTCTCGGCCTGGACCTCTGCCTCTATGAGGCGATTGAAGTTGGCCCTAGGTGAACTCGCCCGCTCTTCTCCCTCAATGCCTCCTGGTGAAATAACACCATATGAGTCCTCGATGCTAGTGAAGTCGAGGCACTCATGTAGAAGTCTCTCGTGACACTGCTCCAACTGGTCCTCTCTATCTCTTTCTAATCCTCTGCTATCTGGGCTAGCTCCATCGTGTCCCTCAACCCCTTTGTCCTCAACAATCAGAGGTTTTCTTGTATCTTGGGCTTTAGGCCCGTCCCTTCATGAAATTTTCTTCCAGCACCGCCTCCGAAATCCCCTTTAATCCCCGATAGAAACTCAAATTTCTCCCTATACTCTATGAAGGTCCCCTCTAAAGTCAAGGAAAATAATTTCTCATGTAGGTCCCCTTCTTGTATGGCCTAGAATACTTCTACTAGTAATCCTTAAACTCCTCCTAAGAATGGTTCGAATATATGGCCTCCCTCCATTGGAACCAAGCTAGGACTTTCCTCTCTAGACATAGCCCTTTGGCCATAAAATTCTCCTCCTTTATCAAGCTATTCACCGTGAAATATCTCTCCACCCGGTACGCCCACTCATAGGCATCCTCTTCAAATATCAACATATTCAACTTTCTCACTCTAGTATGTTCGCTCCAACTTCCTCTCTATGTAATGGTTACCCTGTTCATCGAGGGCGGGACTCCTCTTCCATTCTCCTTGCATGACCTAATCCCCATAGCTTGGCTCGACCCCCTCCATCTCTAGTCGACCACTCCCCTTGCCCGAAATGCCTCCCATAGTGGTTGGCCGCCTTACCACCTCCACCAAAAAATTTTCTCCTTGATGTCTCTTAATGAAAGAAACTCTCCACGTCGAACTCCTCCCATTCTATCTCTTTTCCCTTAGATTTGGCCATGGGAATCCCGGTCAAATCTTAGTTAGGGTTAGCGATTGGAACCGCTAGTGGAGTTTTGGATTGTATCTCCTGAGCTTCCGCATCATCTTCTCCAAGCCTCTAAATTGGCTTTCGATCCGATTCTCTATGGTTGAAAACATTCCTTCAATGGTTGAAAACTTCTCCATCCCTGATTTGATTTGCCCATTTCGCCTTCCAACGCATCCATCTTCTTTGATTCCATCTCTCCAAAACCGTGCCCCGATACCAATTTGATTCATCTCGGAAGTAAAAACAACAAAATAGATAGAAGAAAAATGCAAGGAAACAAATATGGAGGCTGATTTTTTGTTACTTAAATAATGACAAAAGATACAATTGATCTACTATTCCAAAGGTACATCAGCTCTCCCACAAACCCTAGACGCCACTAGGAAACTCACAGCAAACCCTATAAAACAAACTCAACATATTTCTAATGCTAACCCTAGACAAAACTACCCCATAATAGCCCTCACACACATTAAACACAATTGAAAACTTCCTAAACAACATAAACACAATTAGGAAACTTTCCTAAACAATTAAAACCTTCCTAAATAGTATAAATACAATTAGGAAACAATTATAAACAATTAAAACCTTTCTAAATAAACACAATTAGGAAACCTTCCTAAATAGTTTCCCCTTAATTTTTTCTCCTTATATAATTAATAATAGCTCTTTTGGGCTCTACAAGAGGGGCCAAAATCTCCCCTTTTGTTGCCCATGGTTATGCCTAGCCAAAGGGCTGAATCAGCTAGGGGCTGGGCTAGCTTGGGCGGTCAGGCTGGGCTGGTCTGGGCCGGCTAGGTGCCCCCTCCCCCTGGCGTATCACAAAGGTAGTGTAGCATTCAAAGAAAAATTCAAAGTTGTTAATCCTATTTGAAATTTCTTAAAATTTTACCTCTCACTAAACCTAGGAATATAAATGGAAACCTCATGATAGTTATATGTAGTTGCTTTGAACCTTAGTTTACACGATTTCGTTTAAATTTTATTATACTATTATTTTATTTATTGATCCAATGATTATGTTGGAATTGTGGTTGACATTATGATGCAACCATAACCTTTAATATCAAATTTGAGATAGACAGGAGTAGACAGGAGGTCATGCGGAATTGAGTTTCTTATGCAACTATATTATGTAATACACAAATAGTAAACATAAATCAAAAGCCGTGGTTCATCTGTTATCAATTTAAATAATTATCGATCCCATTTGAAGAAAGAAGTCCATTAAATTTTACGGACTCAAATCATGGGTCGCTGACTCATCAGAGTTGCAGTTTGGCAATGGTCGTATATCATGGGCTGATAACAGACGGTAAATCTATGGGTTACTGAAGATCACAAATCTATACCTAGGAACAAGCTGTTACCGTTTCACTGCCAAATATTTGTTGGTGGTGCTGATTTTTTACCTGCTTAGCATGATGAATTGGTTTTCTAAACCAGTGATTGTCAAGGTTTAATTTTTACTGAGTTATTACTCTTTTTCTACGCATTTCTTAACTAATACTAGGCTTTAGATGTTGCACATTATTCTTTTGTACTGGAAGGATGTGTAATACTGGCTCCAAGCAAGACCTTGTACTTTCCTGCTTAATTCATGGCTTGAAAACTTCTTTTGCAACCTTTTTTTGTTGCAGAATGAGATTGATTTTGGTGGAGATGATGCAGCCATCTCCCCGAGATTGCACTTTCAGCATCAATTCCCTCAAAGTACACCACACCTTCCAAACTCTAGCATCCAATCTAGTCCAGGTTTTGTGGGGCAGCATTCTTATGTAGTTCCTCGCACATCTCATTCTGAACAGGTAAAGAACTCAGTTTTCTTAAATGCTCTTTCCAGTCCAGTTGACAGATGCCTCCATCCCTACCAGCTAGCCCAAGGAGAAGGGCCCTGTGGTCAAGGAGGAACTAGGAGTAATTATGTGAATTCGTCAACTGATGTTCAGGAATCTAATTCTCCAAACCCCAATGATGCTTCCATGGAAATACACTGAGGCTGCCTCATTGATCTATGGAATCATTTTTCATCGAGTGTGATAATGACCAGCATATATCTCTCTAATTCAAGAGCCCCATAAGTTCCGAGTAAGGTTGCGTGTTACATCATCAAAGCAGGTATGTTGGAGCATGCAGCGAAGGTTATATGTAATGTGTTAATTCATGAAATGCTTGAAATATGTTTTCCATGACTAACGTTGGTTTGCTTCTAGGAGCCAACACTCAAGAGACTTGGCATTAAATTATGTTGAATTTGTTTTATTATTGGTGTTCATCCATGATTCTGGGCTTGATATAGCACTCAGGTGTCGCATATATTTTATATGTACATAATTAATGTATAAATTGCAGCCAAATATATCATTTATCTTTTGCGTTTATATGACGGATCTTCATGTGAATGACCACCATTTGGAAATTTATTTGGTTAGCTGAGTTAATGTGATCTACTTCAATATTTCAATTCACTCTGCATGAGGGGATTGTTGAACAACTGAAGCGATCCGCTATGGCATGACCTATGCAAAACTAATTATATAAGGCGTCTTGCTTAGCAGTGATTGGTATTTGTCTAACCTATTAATTCAGAAAATAGTATTGAAATGCTTACATGAGTTTTTAACTCTTCTAGTAATGTTCTGATTGAAATTTTCATTAGGGGGGCTGTTTTTCTTAAGCTGTTAAGTTTTTTTTTTTTTTTTTAAATGAAAATTTAGGGCTAAGCTCTTCCTATTAATGAAGATAAAGAGAAAAGATATCAGATGAGATTGCTATTAAAAAAAAAAATTTAAGAATTCATGCTATTAGAAAAAGGCATTTCAAAATAATATATAAATACATATCCATTGTCATTTTCCAAAATCTAACAGAACAGTAACTTCTGACGGAAAAGGAGATTGAATTTTGTTTTAGTCCATTTGGTGAAGGTAGGACAATTGAAGGCCTTTCTCCGTAACTCAATTAAATCCTTCGCTTTGATATAATCTTGCTAATATTAAAAGCAAATAGTCATCCTATTAATAGTTCATCAGACCATATTCATTTGATAAAAGGATAGAAAATAAAAGATAAGTAAATCAGTGCTTCACAAGCATAATTATTTTAGAAATCAAAATTTTGATAAATGATGAAAGGATCCATAGGTATGAAAAATTAATAGTACAAAAGCTGAAATATGCTTTAAGAATAGATTTACAACTAAGAGGAATACCAAGATTTATTTGATGTAATATGAGAACTTCGTTAGCTAGATAAAGAGAGAAAAAGTACAAGTTTGAGTTTAAATGATTTCGACCTGGCTCACTATCCCCCTTATTTATTAGTTATTACTAGGGTTTGTTTGTTGGCTTTATAACCCTCATGATCTTTGATGATAACTATGTGCTTGACTGTTCTAATATGTAAGTTAAGTATTTCACGTGCATTGATTCCATAGATGCACATGATAACTGGTTGTACAACCCAAGTTCAATCAAAATTTTAGCAAAGAAGAACCCATGATGGATTAAGATGGATAGCTTAAAATTCAATAAAAAAAAAATTCCGGTTATATTCAATTATGATTGTTTTAGAGATCCTTAAAAGTTTACTTATATGGTTTGGTTTGTTCACAGTTTAATATATAGATTAATGTGTTTTATTTATTATTAATTTAGCTATGATAATAAGCTTAAATTAAAAATCAATAAGATTTCGCAATTAAATAAATTTTATTTTAAGTGAGATATTTTAAATTCATCATATATTACATAAAATTTAACAAAATTTTATAACGATTATTAATTAGGGTAATTAAAAAAAAAATAAGCTTATTTGCTTTAAACTTAGTTGAGTATACTTATCTATCTATTTTAAATTAAAATTTATTATAAAAACTTTATAATATATAAGTGAGTTTATCTACAACACTCTATATTTTTGTATGAGCATTTAATATATTTTTAAAATAGATCAAAATATATACAAATTTATATTTTAATAAAATTTATTTTATAGTTACTGCATTTCTTGACTTTTATTCTATTAAATTCACTAGATTCAGTAAATACAAATTGATAGGTTATATGACCACTTTTAATTATAATTGAATTAATAATAATTTTTAAAACATTACCAAATTTTAATTTTGCTAGCTGGCTAGTAATTTTTGTATTCTTTTGGATATATTTGAAAACTTTTTGACTTAGCATATAAATAGTCATTTTCTAGACATTTGAATATATTTTTTTTAAATATAAATCAATATTTTATTAAATATTATATTATTAGTTGATAAAAGATTGTTAGATTATTACTTTTTTTTTAAATTAGCTTAATTTATATTTTTTCTAAAAATAAGCCCATTCTTTTCATGTGAGGGCTATTCTTAACTTAGAAATTCTAGCATATTCCTTCCTTTTTCTTCCTTTGTTTTATGTTAAATTTTGAGAGGAAACAATTAGATTTTATTTCAAGTGCTCTACATTTCTGCAAGATAAAATCCATGATTAAAAAGCTTAAATGCATCCAATTAAGTAACTTCTCTTGAAGTTATTGAGTTTGATTTCCTTATCTAAGTATTTCCTTGCTATTCTTTTAGTTTCACCTTATATTTTTCTTAGAAATATTTATTATTGAGTGAAATACTAGTAAAGAATATTAGATTAAGTTTTCTAGATTTAAAATTTTTTTCATCCTCAAAGTTGATCTTCTTATAAATTATGGCACAAGATTTTCCCGAGAGTTCACTACCTGATCTCCTTTACTAGATAATGTTCATTTTTATCATTAGAAAAATTAAATTAGTGCATTCTTAAGAGGACAAGAATCACGCATGTGGCACATGCTTACACATCAGTTTTATACCCCAACGAAAGAAATAAATAGAATTAAGATTGACAAAAACCTTTTGATGAATGGACTATATAAGAGAGAGCTATATGAGTTAAATTTTAGGGTATTTAATTGTGAGCACTTCTTTCGATTGATTACATGAAAATTGTTATGTTAAAATTATTAAAAATAATTGGAATAAAATAATTATAACTTATGAAGAAACTAGTGAGATGAGAGATACTCACAAAATTATACTTATTAATGACACTACAGGAAAAGCACCCATTTTCGGTGGAATTTTTTGGCAAAAATTGATCATTTTCTGGCGGTTTTTTAATTTTCCGGCGGTTTTCCGGTGGAAAAAATTATGTTGGTAAAACCCGGGTAGGAAAATAAATTTCGGCTGCTTTTTCCAGTGAAAAATATTTATGGCGGAATTAAACCGCCGGTTAAAAAGAAAAAATAATTAATAAATCCTATTTTTCGCCACCCAGCTCCTGCTAGCGCCAACCCACTCCCAAGCCCGTGGGAGCGCACCTGCCCGGCCTGGTCCAACGCCTCGGGGAGCCCTTCTCTAGTTTCTTATATTCATCCACGCTAGTGGGATCCCTCCCGCTAGCCCGCATTCCCGCGCACGGTCCCGCCTGCCAGGTGATTCGAACCCGGGTTGCTTGGGAAATATCTCAAACGACCAACCAAATTGTTGGACATGCAAATACGTTTTAAAAGTCAAATTTTTCTATTTAAACTATATAATGACTTAAAATCAAGATGTATTTAATTATGCAAATGAAAAATGATACTAATTAAATTAATTATAAAAATAAAAATGATAATTAATATAAAATAAAAATTTATATTTACTAATTAATTTTAAAATGAAAATTAATTAAATAGTTAATATTATTTTTAATCATTTTTGTTAAATCATTTAAATAGTTAAAATTTAAATCAATTGAATTAAATTTTTAAAATTCCGCTGAAAAATTGAAAAAGCTGCCAGAAAATTCCGTATGAAAAAAAACTCTGAAAAATTTCATCGGAAAAGGTGTCTCATTAGTTTCCGTTGGAAAACCACTGGAAATGGGCCAGAAAATTAGCCGCCTGAAAATTCCACCGGAAATGGGTGATTTTTATTTAGTGTGAATTTAAGTTATTTTGTATGTCTCCATCTAAATCCATTTTTTATTTGTATATTAGATTTATGAAAATAATTAACACATTACACTCTCTTGGAAGAACATATAAGAATAAAGACTTAGTTTATAAGATTCTTAGATATTTCCAGAAGAATGGGATGCTAAAGTACCTGCAATTATTGAGGCTAAATATTTATCTACTTATTGACTTAATCAGCTTTTAGGTTCTTTAATAGAAAATTAATAGATTATAGGTCAATGAGATATGTTGGATAGCTCTTTTAAGAAGAAGAAAGAGAAAGGAAAAATCATTGCCAAATAGGTTAATGATAATGATGAGCTTAGCACCTCAAGCTCTAATGAAGATAGTGATGAGGTGATCATGCTTTCAAGATGATTGGGAAGCTTGCTAAGGAAGAAAAGTCAAAGGTATAAGAAATCTAAAAATTATAAATTTCAAACAAAAAAAAATTGTCTTGTTAAGTGAAGGGATCATTATTACCATTGCATGAAACATGGATTTATAAGAAGAGATTTTCCAAATCTTGTCGATTCAGATAAGAAAGAGATTGATGTTGAGAGAAAAAATGACAAGGAATAAAAGAAGCACTTTAAGAAGAAGAACACATTGGGGGCCAACTAAGATTCATATGAATTAAGTTCATCAAATGAAGAGGTTAATATTTATCTTATGGCAACATGAGATTCTGATTTTAATTCTCAAGAGATATGTAATGATAGATCTTATGCAAAATTTGATGATGCATTTAATAAATTTGTGGATGAATATAAGAAACTAGCTAAAAAAATATAAAATTTTAGATAAAGAGCATGAAACATTAGATATACATTTCAATGATTACAAAATGAATGTGAAGATTTAAAAAAAATTAAAAAAGTTACTTTATATATCATTCTTTACTTATTTGTAAACTTGAAAGAGAGAATATTTTGTTAAAAGTAATATTAAAATTAAGTATAAAAGCACATGTTCATTATAGTGCTTCATCATGTAGAGTATCATATAAAAGTCGTATCATATAAAAGTCCCTCTTATATGTCACATAAACATCAAGTAAAGCCATATGCAAACATTTATTATTGGTGTAACTATTATGGTAGAAAAGGATATATCTCTTTTAATTATTATGCTTATAGATCACCAAATTCTAAAAAATCTTATTATGTATGGGTACCAAAAAATATGAGCACTTCACATAACACATATGATAGATAATATAATTCTCATTTAGAATGTAGACCCAAAAATATTTGGGTTACAAAAGTTAATATTTGATTTTCTTTTGTAGGAATTACTTCAAAGCAATCAATGAACAAATGTGGTATTTGGATAATAGATGTTCAAGAGACATGACATGTGATAAATCAAAATTCACTACTTTAGGGCAAAGTGATGGAGGATGCAT